AAAGTCAGCTGAAAGGTAAAAATACACAATTATAAATGCTGGTTTCTTTAATGTTATAAAGAGCAATTCCTTCCTGTTGTCCTATTTTTCTGCTTCTAAGTTGCAGATAGCAGTTTGGATGTTTTGGGAGAAGGTAGGGAGAAGTTACCTGACATCCCTTCTCTGAGGCCAGCTGGCAATATATGTGACACAACACTATCATTATCAAATATGAAATAGGAATCTGCAGGTACACAGATTAAAGCATATATCTTTAATAAAAAGTATTAGAATCACATTGCAAATGCTGATACTAAATGTAAAAATAACCCACAATTATAGGTTTTCTTTCTATTCAGTAACATTTTTATGCTCTACTTATCCTAATCTAAAATGAAAATATTTAATATACCAGTTTCATTCATTTTATCTTTTCATTGCATAATAATCCTGCCATATAAGAGAAGTGATATCTTAACAGTAGAACTGGTTCATAGTTACTGGAGTGCCATGTGTGTTAGTTATACAACCTGTTGAACAGATTCATTACCTGTTCAGACTTGTTTAATTATACCAGCTATGGGACAAACAGTATGTATGTTTCTGACTCAGGTAAGTAATTAATGAAGGCTGAAATAATTCATAGTAACTGGAACAGAAATATAGCAGCAGGTACTAAAGTTAAGAATCTAGTGCATTCCTAGCACGTAGGCAATACTTTAGCTGCTTAGGATTTGTCTTCTTTTCAGTAGATATGCCGTTATATTATGAAAGAAACATTTCATGATAAATTAATTGCGCACATCAGATTCATATTTGAAAATTTATATCATATTATGCAATAATATTTGCATAGTCCACTCAAACTGGTATTCTCCAGATGGATTGATCTTCAGCTCTCATAACTTCCGTCCCAAGGCAGCTGCAGTAATTGGCCATGCTAGAGTCAGCAGAGGCATTTTTAAGGCATTTTAAGTCAAGATTATGGCTGCAGTGTGACTGAACTGCTGCCTTTATATATATGAACATTCAGAATAATGGGAAGTGATCCAACTCATCTGGAAGACATCAGGTTATATCAATGCTCTATGTAGTTCTAATCATACTTATTTAGAACTAAGCCTTGCTAAGGCCAAGATCATCCCAAAACAGAAACCTGAATTATGATTTAAAATGTATATTTTATAAAATAACACATGAAAATGTTGGTACTTAAGAATTATTATGGTCCATTATTTATTTCAAATGTGTTTTCTATCATAAACAAGGTGAATGGTGCCAGTTGATTGTAGAATCTGAAAGCATTCACTCTCTCTAGTACTGTAACCGGGGGATAATGATAAGAGATGGTGGAAACAGTCATTCAGCAACATCTGGAGAAACAGATTCCCTATTGTCCTCTAAAATAATTATATTTGATTTTGAAATTAAAATCTACCCCAGCTCTTATTTGAAGAACAGTTACAGAACACCCATGTACATCATGAATTACAGTTTTCCAATTGTTATGGGAATATTAGAAAGACCAATGCTATTTTAAAAAATGAGTCTCGTTTGTTTGTTAAGTCACAGGTTTGTGTGAGCCTGTGTAAGTGTCTTGCCAATTTAACCTAAGCCTGATGTGACCTCTGGAGAAGTTAATAAGTGCACATATAAAATGAAATTCTTTGTAAAACCCAAGCTTTAGATAGGGAGGATAAGGATTTTGCAATATCAGTTTCCATCTCTCCCCACCCCCATAGAGAGCTGAAATATCTATTTGTCAGTCCTGTTTATGAAACCAGCCCAATGAGCTGCTCAGGCACTTTCATCTCCACCCTACACATCCTTGTCCAAAATATCCAGTCCTTGCCAAGAGATGAGCTGTATTCCTGTAATCTTGGCAATAGGAATACACTCAGAAGCTGCAAAAATGTTTCTACAGCATCAGGCCCTGCTGCCCATTCAGGTTGTACTGAACCCTGCTGAGAGCTGGCCTGTTTGTCATCTCTGGAAATGTCAGAAGCTATTGAACTTCCTCAGGTCAAGGCATTGTCTTCCAGGAGTCTGAAAGTCAGGCTGTGTGTGTCATGGTTCCAACAGACAGAGATGAATAAAGCAGAACACCGAGGCTTGCAAATTCCTCAAAGGTAATTCCACTATAAAATCCATTGCTATCTCCTCCCATGGCTGATAGGGATTGGCAACTTGTTGCAATAATCCTGGTATTTTTCCAGGAAGCCTTTTCATGGTAGCACAAGTGGCACAACTCTTAACATAACTCTCAATGTCCTTTTTCATTCTTGGCCACCAGAATTGCCTCCGCTCCAGATGTAATATTTTTAAAAATCCCAAGTGACCTGCTTGCTTAGCATCATGACTCCGTTGCAATACCTGGAATCTGAGGCCATCTGGGAAGTATAACTTCAAAGCTAGCTCTCCCCTTAAGATTAATATAGATTTATTATCTTTAAACCAATGCTCTTCAACCTCTTCATCAATGATTTGGATGAGGGGATAGATGGGGAACTCATCAAATTTGTGGATGACACCAAGCTGGCAGGAATAGCCAACACTCCAGAAGACAGGCTTAAGATACAGGAGGATCTGGATAGACTTGAACACTGGGTATTATCTAACAAATTGAAATTCAGTGGTGAAAAAGTAAGGTTCTACATTTAGGCAAGAAAAACCAAATGTATAGCTATAGTATAGGTCAGGGGTAGGCAACCCAAAACACTCAAAGAGCCACTTGAACCCCTTTCCCACCAAAAACAAAACACTGGGAGCCGCAAAACCCTTTTGATATCTAAAATGAAGATAACACTGCATATATCCATTTTTACCTTTATGATATACATACATACATACGTACACGTGTGTGTGTGTTTCCTAAATTTTTGGATTGCTAACATGAATTAAGGGGGATTGGGATAGCTATTTCGAGCTGAATAGCTCTCATCAGCCAGACATACCCTTCTGAGATTCGAACCTGGGCTGCTTGCACATTACGCAGCTGTGTTGACCTCTAATGTGCAAGCAGCCCAGGTTCGAATCTCAGAAGGGTATGTCTGGCTGATGAGAGCTAATCAGCTCAAAATAGTTATTCCAGTCCCCCTTAATTCTTTGTTAGCAATCCAAAAATTTAGGAAACACAAATGATGTTGCAGTAGTGACTGCTGCCTGTGGATGGCTCTAGATTGAGCTGATATAGGCCCATATTTGGGCCAACAAGGTGCATAAAAAAACACTCAAGATATACATGCAGTGTTATCTTCATTTTAGATGTCAAAAGGGTCTCTCTCTCCTCTCCCCCTCTCTCTTTCCTCTCTCTCTCTCCCTCTCTTTCTCTCTCCCTCTCTCTGATCTTCTGCTCTCCCTCTCTCTGATCTTCTGCTCACCTGGCAAGCTGGCTTCAAGCTGTTCTCCAACAAGCTCAGGGGTAGGCAACCTCAGCTCTTTTATGACTCATGGACTTCAACTCCCAGAATTCCTGAGTCAGCATAGCTGGGCTAGCTAGCTCTCTCCTGCCCTTCCTACTTCCTACTTCCTGCAGAGATGCAGCAAAGGGAGGAGCCCCACCCAGTAAGCTTTTCAGCTCCTCGGAGAACACCGTGAGTCCTCTCTCTTTTTTTACACACATACACACACAGAGAGAGAGAGAGAGAGAGGGAGGGAGGGGGGGGAAGTGCAAGTGCCTCTCTCTGTCTCTGTCTCTCTCTGCAAATGGCAGAGGAGGCTGGGAGCCGCAGGGGAAGGCTCAAAGAGCCACATGCAGCTCCAGAGCCACAGGTTGCTGACCTGTGGTATAGGGTTTCCTGCTTGAGCAGGGGGTTGGACTAGATGACCTCCAAGGTCCCTTCCAACTTTATTATTATTATTAAACCAGGCATCAGTCTCTAATTTCTCCTTCAACTCCTTTAGTGAGTGATTGTCAGGACCAGCATGGGGTCTCCGTGTGTGCAATCTGGTTGTTATTTGAGGAGTGGATTGCGGCGGAGGAATAATGGAGTTAATTACTTCCTCTTGGTTGCTCTTGAACTGGGGCATTCTAGACAAGGCAACAGCCAAAAAAGTTCTTACCCCCAGGAAAATATTTTAAAGTGAAATTAAAATGGTTGAAGTACTGAGCCCACCGAACTTGCTTGGGGGATAATTTACAGGGGGTCTTGAGAGCCTCCAAATTTTTGTGATCAGTCCATACCTCAAAAGGTACTTTCCCCTTTCCAAAAAATGATGCCATGTCAGCAATGCTCAACGGACTGCAAAAGCCTCTTTCTCCCAAACTCCCCACCTCCTATCGGTGTCAGTTACTTTTTTTTGTAGGAGAACAGCCTCCATGTCCATGTTGCTTGCATCAGCTTGAATGATGAATTGTTGTCCGGGGTCAGGGTGTTTAAGAACTGGTTCAGCTGCAAAGAGTCTCTTTAGTTTTTTGAATGCTGCCTAGCACTCTAATGACAATTGCAATGGCTGACAAGGTCGGGATTTTCCCCCTCCTTTGCCTGTTTTGAGTAAATCAGTGATTGGCATGGCCATCTTTGTGAAAGAGGGAATAAATTGACAATAAAAGTTGGCAAACCCCAGAAAACTTTGAAGCTGCTTGCAGGTTCATGAGGGTTGCCATTTCAATACTGCTTTAACTTTGGTAGGGTCCATCTTTACCCCCTCATTCGAAATCTGATACCCTAGATAATCTAAGCAGATCTGGTGAAATTCACACTTCAACAGCTTTGATATAGTTTGGCTTTCAACAGTCTCTTTAATACCTCATGGACCATTTTGATGTGTTCATCCATGGTTTCAGATAAATAAGGATGTTATCAAGATAAACCTCTTTGTATAAATGATCATGGAGCACTTGATTTATCAATTACATAAACATAGCATGGGGCCCCTGCAGTCCAAAAGGCATCACCTTAAATTGGAAGCTCCCCAACGGGCAATTAAAGGCAGTTTTCTACTCATCCTCCTCCTTAATCTGGATCCAGTAATAAGCCTCTCTTAAGTCCAGCTTGGTAAAGATTTTTCCTTTAGCCAGGTGGTCCTTCATCAGGGGGAGGGGTACTTATTTTCCATATTGACTGTGTTCAAAGATTTAAAATCTACACATACTCTAAGAGACCCATCTTTCTTGTCCTTGAAGAGCATGGGAGCAGCAATATGGCAGGCTGACTGAAACCCCAAGCTAAGTATTTATTGATGTACTTTCTCAGTTCTTTCATTTCTCTGGGTGTCATAGAGTACATTTTTGCTTTTGGGAGCTTGGCACCAGGCAGAATTTCAATAGCACAATCCATAGCCTGGTGTGGGCGGAGGATGTCACATTCCTTCTCACTAAATGCTTCCGCCAAATCATGGTATTCTGTGTGGACCAGTTGAATCCCTGGCACGTTTTTGGCTACAGTCTTTAGGGTCTTGTGGGGCTCCCCTTGAATCTCACTGATAGCTAGTGTCTTTGTTTTATCAACAGTGGCAGGTGGGAGGGGTCCTGTCCCCAGTCTTAACCTCTGCATTCCCTCCTCCCACATGATGTTAGGATGCCATTTACCCAACCATGCTACCCCCAAAACTGCTTTGGTCATCTTCAGAACCACCACAAAATGGATGATTTTCCAATGCTGACCCATTTCCAAACACACAGGTTTGGTTAGGTGTTGTGGCAGGGGTACCTCCAATAAGGGACCCATCAGCCTGCTCAAATCTCATAGGTAGGGGCAATGGCTTGGCTCGGATGCCCAGTTTGAGACAGTGGGTAAGTTAATTAAGCACTGAGTGCACCCCAATCAAATTCATGTGAGCTCCCGTTTTGGGTACTACCAGCCTGGTGGGGATAGCAAAAGAGGGAATGGACTGACTCACCATGGGGTCCTCCTCACCTTCCTCCTCACTGTCGTACATTCCAGAATCTGCTGTGGCTGGAATTGGGGTTTGGCTTCAAACTCGGTGGGAGGGGAGGCTTCAACACCCAGGCCTTGATGTGCCCAGTTAGTTTTTTCTCTTCCCCCTCTAGGAGCTCTTCATGGTTTCACAGCAGCGACAGGTGCACTCCTGGGTTGAGGTGAGGAGTGGGGAACTCAATAGCATGGTGACCATCTGACCACATCGGTAGCACTTGATTCGAGCCCTGGCTTGTGATTGGGAGACGTTGGTGGCTGCAGAGAATTGGAGATGTTGGCCATAGAGGCATTTTTCTTGGATGCACAGTGGCTTGGGTTCGGTGGTGCTTGACTTTCAGGGATGGTCCAGCTCGATGTCTAGCACCATTGTCATACAGTACCACTCACGCAATAGGTTAGGAAGACTTTGAATGATGCAGGCTTGAAGCAAGTCACAATCTAGCCCCTGTTTGAAGTAATTGATCAGTGACCACTCAGGCAGTTAGCAACTCTCCTGAATTCATGGACATACTTCTTTGTGGGGTGACCTCTTTGCTTCAGGTGGTGGATTTCTTTCTCAGCCAACAGGACTTGGGATTCATCTTCAAACTGACCCCTCAGTTCTATGAATAGATTAATGTTGTGCAATTCAGGAGCACCTTCATCATGGAGGTTGGTCACCCAGTTGGTCGCTTCTCCCTCTAAATTTACCTCCATAGCATTCACCATCAAAGCCCCATCTAGGTAGGCATAAGCGTAATGATCTAAATGAGCCCACCTCTGGTTTAAGAAGACCAGCTTTTCAAAGCTGGGCTTGATGGGAGGCAGCTCGAATCTCGGTGGAGCCACCTGCACCTGCTGCTGGGCTTAGATGGCTTGCTGGTCCTGGGGACATGTCAGAAATGCTCTCTGGATTTCTCTTGGCTGGGCTCCAGGACTAGCATCCTGAGGCCATAGCAACGGGCTTGGCTGGGATACAGGACCTGGTATCACAGCTGGTTGGGGGATGGGCAAAGCAGTACGGGCCCCGGTGTTTGGGCTGGACCTCCAGCAAGGGAGAGGAAGAGATGAGTAGTTCTTGGCATTTTCCCCCACAGCACCCATCTCTTGGGCAACAGGAATCATATCCTTTATCTCCAGCCAGCCGAACTTCTCCTTCAGCTGTTCGACTGTGGACGAAAATCTCCACTCTCCGGAGTCATCCCATCCCATCAACCCTTTTCCTTTCTTGTCATCCACAGATGAAGAACCCTGGGATGGCAGCAATAAGAGCTCCTCTCCAGAAGTTATGGGAATGCTCCTGCACTGAGGGGCAGCCTCGGCTTGAAAGAGGTCCACTAGGGCTGTAGCTCCTTCCTGCAGTGCCAGCTTCCCAGGTTGGATCAATCTGGCTTTTGGCTGAGCCCTGCCAGTGATGCCTTCTCAGTGGCTGGAGCACCAGCTTGCGCTCTGACAGCCTGAGACCCGTTGAGGCTAGCAGCAATTTCAATTGTCTCCTCCATCTCAAGTCTTTGACAAGTCTTTACCACTCTCCCAAAAGTGAATGGGTAGGCGGTCAGAGCCGAGCACTCTGGGAAAACGAAATTTTAAGAGACTTGGTTTAATGTCAAGGTTCTGACAGACAGACACAAATAAAGCAGAACTCCGAGGCTTTCAAATTCCTCAAACAACATGTTTATTAGTTACAAAGTATCGGCATGTCAAAAGTGAAACCAAGTCTGGAGACACATGTAACAATTCTCCAATACAAAGTTAAGAAATTCCACCCCTAAGGCTATGCAAGCATTTACGTTCCCAATGCATCTTCTTGGTGGGCTTTTTACGCAACGCCCAGCCTGCAGTCTTGGGAGTAGCCAATGACCTTAGTTCCCACAGGACAAAAGATTATTTGACTAGCAAAGCACTTGGCAAACCCTCTCCCTCCATTCTATGTGTCAACCGAAAATGAATAGGGAAAATGGCTACAGCCACGCTCATTTTTAGAGTTGACAGTTTGATATGATGAACTGTACCATTTTAAAAAATATGAATAGGTAAATAATATGTCTTAAATAAACAGGAGATTTGATCTACACCTGCAGACTCTCCATCTCTAGTCTAATCCCCAGTTTTTGAACCTCAGAACGTGCTACCACTATCAAATGAATGAAGAGAGGCTGAATAATAGACTCACTATACAGCTTGTTACCCTGGGAGAAGTAGCCTTCCTGCGACTTAGAATAATGAAGACACAATCTCTGAGAGAGGGCAGCCACTTAAAGTGTTAGAATAAAGTTCTGGTCTGTTTGATAGGGGTTACTGAATGAAACCTCTTGTCATAGTGTTCTTGCTTGAAGGTTTTTTAAAATTGTTTTGCTGGGATTTTACGTAATAAAATGCATTATGAGATGTAGAATGGCTCTTAATTACTTTAATCTTTGAGGTTATAGGAAATATCTTGCATCAACACATAATTTCTTTTTTAATCTTTTGCCAAAGAATGCTGCACCTGGATATTTTTTGCTATCAGCACTGTTTAAAGATATTGTAGATATTAAAATATTCCATTAATCTATTCCTGAGATAGAGACAATGAAACAATATCTTTTGTGTTGCTTGCACTTCAGATATATCCTATTCAAATTATTTCTATTTCTTTAATTATTTCTAGAGAACGTGGTACCTCTGATTAGTTTTATGTACTTTTCCTCTCCTATACAGATCTAACAATTTTGGAATTGGTTTTGTGTAATCAAAACAATGCAATCAGCTTCCTAATGAAATCATTATTTTTGTTTGCTGAATAATTTGCTGATTTTGCCTCCATTCTACATATTTCTTTTTTGTTCTGTGGCTTATGCTGGCCTATAGCTGTAATGAGATAAGATTATAAGAAGGCAGCATAGACTATAGAATTCCTGAAGGTAAAATTTATTTCAGCATGAATTACTTTGTATAGCCAGAACCCACAACCATAAATACTAGCTTTCTTTATCCTTACTTGTGCCTCAACTGCATTTTGAACTCAAACCACTTTTGGACATAGAACTGATTTGTTTTATATTTGTTTTACAGGATGGATTTGGCAGTGTTGAAGTCCACACGCCTTAAAATTGTCAAGTTTGGGAAACACTGATCTATCTGATATCTCTGATTGTTAGATGCAGGAAGTTCTGAACCACCCAGCATTGTAGATGACATGCTAAGGGGAGAAGAAATGTTTCAGGTAATGTTTGTTTTGTGTTTTCTGAGTAACAAGTTTCTCAGACAAAGTAGTGCAGAAAAGCTAATTATTTCTTATGGCCTCTAGTATTGTTATTGGTTTTGTTACATAATATTGTTGTTTTATGCTTTATGAGCTACCAAAATCTTAGATAAAATAGGACAGTATGCATTCACACATAAGCACACAAAAATCCAGAGGTTTTTTTTTTTTGGTGCTTTAAAGCAAAGAAAAATGATTGAGAAAAGGTAAATTAGATCCAGTTGCTGAACTCTTTTACTTCTTATGTTATAATGTGGCTGAAACTTTGGTGAAGGCTATAGTTTAAATTAATGGATTCATTCTAAATATGTTTGGAGCTTTAAGAGACAATGGACTGAATTTGCTATAGCCTGAAGTAGATCTTGTGAAACAATATGAAAAAATAATAAAGGTTGACATAGCTCCAGTTTTTTTTTTGTATCCAAGGATAACCCCCCTACTTTGAAAAATAAATATCTAAGGATAATAACAGATTTATGCAATAATAGAAAATAAATAACAAAAATTGGAATCACTTACATTTTCATTAGCAGACAATCATTGTTAATAATCATTACCTCTTCTCTCCTCTGTCTTCTCTCCCCTCACCCCACTGTCCTCTTCTGTCCGTTAAAGATAGTTTTGTTACATAATCAATCTAGCAGAGTAAACAGAGGGGGAAATTTCAAGGCAATATTATAATTTTTGTTGGTGGAATTTACCTATGTCTCCTTTGATTGCATTACTTCAGATTCAGAAAAGACAATTGGCTGGCAAGTGTCATTTCTCATTGCTTCATTCAATGCTTTCAGTTTTTTACTGAAAAAAAAAACTGAAAAAAATGACCCTGTCATAAAAGTGAATCCTTTAAAATGTTGACAGCATGGATAGTTTGATTCTGTTCTTAGTAAATGCTATCACATTATTTTACAATCTGTAAGCAGCTTTTTAGCTCAGTTCTAGGATATTGAATAAAATAGGATTACAATTAAGAAAATATAGTTGGACAAATGGCTGTATCTTATGCTGTTTGCTGTGACAATTCAAATAATAACAAAACATGACTATATCATAGAAATCTTGGATGATTATTAATTTGTAATATTCTGATTCTTTTTCAATAACAACAACAACAACAACAACAAAAGATCAACTCCTAATAGACAAAATGATCTTGGAAAAATGCAAGAAAAGGAAGACCAGCCTGAATGTGGCATGGATTTACTACAAAAAAGCATTTGACTTTCTGCCACATGACTGGATAATCAAGTGCCTAGAAATAATAGGAGTCAGTAGAAACATCAGAAAATTTGTGCAAAGATCGATGACACAATGGAAGACACAGTTGCAGGTCAATGGTGAGAAATTAGGAGAGGTTAATATCAAGAGAGGAATACTTCAAGGAGATTCATTATTACAACTACTATTTGTTATTGCACTGTTTCCTCTGTCAACAATACTGAATAACTCAGGACATGGCTATCAAACATCAAAAACATCTGTCAGACTATCCCACCTCCTTTACATTGATGATCTGAAGCTGTATGGAAAAACATCATCTGAAATAGAATCGCTGCTCAACACTGTCCGTATATATAGCCAAGATATTGCAATGGAGTTTGGCTTGGACAAATGTGCCACATTTACTATCAAACAAGGAAAAATAGTAAAAACTGGAGGAATCAAGATGCCCCACGAAAATAACATTAAGAGTCTGGATGAGGAAGATTACTAAAATACTTGGGTATCCTTCAAGCTGACAACATCAAGCATACTGAAGTCAAGAAAAAGATTAGAGGGGAATACATCAAGAGAGTGAAGAAGATCTTAAAGTCCAAACTCAATGGAGGAAATATCATGAAGGCAATCAACACCTGGGCAATTCCAGTCTTTAGATACACAGCTGGAATAGTGGACTGGAGTCAAGCAGAACTAAAAGCAATGGATAGGAAGACCAGAAAAATAATGACAATGAATCATGCCCTTCATCCACGCAGTAACATTGACAGGCTCTATCTATCAAGGCAAATAGATGGGTGTGGAATGCTGCAAGTACATCAGATGGTTGAAGACAAAAAATGGCTTTGGAAGAATATCTGAAGGACAATGATGAAGATGCACTGAAATTAGTATATCAGGAAGGCTTACTGACTACTAGAGAGACCAAACTGGCCTACAAGAAAGACCGAATGAAGAACAGAATAAAGGCATGGGAAGACAAAACACTACATGGGCAGTATATTTAAAAAAATAACTGAGAAAGCAGATAATAACAAGACCTGGCAATGGCTAAGAGCAGGAAAATTGAAGAAAGAGACCAAGGGACTAATTCTGGCTGCACAAGAGAAATACAATTTTGAATAGGCTCAGTAAGAAAAATTTAGATATAATAATTTTACAAGAAACTCACATAAAGAATCAGCACCAAGACCTATTAAACCACCCCAAGCTAGGAATTAAATTTGTATCTCTCCCACAGCAGAATAAAGGAGGAATAGTGATATATGTCAATGAAAAAATCCCGGCAAAACAAATGTACCAGGAAGATGAAGGTAAAATCTTGATAACTGAAATCTCCTTGAATAAAAAAAAAAGTCGCCCTAGTAGGAATTTATGCTCCCAATGAAAAACAAAGACAGTTCTACAAGAAATCACATAAGATTATTGGTGATTTTGAATATGAAAATATTTGTTTAATTGGTGACTTTAATGCAATCGTAGATAGAGAATTAGACTATAAAAGTGAGAATGTAAGAAAAGGGACTTGAAGAATACTACCTGATACTTTTTTCAAAACGGCAGAGGAACTTAATATCCAGGATAGTTGGAGGGAGAGAAACTCAAATGTAAAACAATTTACATATTATTCAGGACACCACCAATCCTGGTCTAGAATCAACATGACCTGGACAACAAGAGAATTAAATTCAGATGTAGATGAGGTAATGATAGATATTAATATTTGGGCAGACCACAATCTTATTATAATGAAATGGAAAGGTCAGAAGGCAACTAGGAGGTGGACCTTAAAAAAAGCAATTTTAAATCAAAAAGAATTTAAGCAAAAAATGGAAGAGCAAATGCGGATATTTTTCCAGACAAATAAGAAAGAGGAGACCAATACCCAAAACCTATGGGATACAGCCAAGGCAGTCATGAGAGGAACTGCAATTGAATACATGGCTAATGAAAATAAAAAGAAAAGACGGTATCAAAAAAGCTTAGAGGAAGAACACAAAAAATTAGAAATAGAATTGCAAAAAAAAAAAAAAACCCCACAGTGTAGAGATCTAAAACGACAACTAGACTTAAACAAACACAAATTGAATATTTTAGAAAAAGAAAAATTGGCACAAAAATTAAAAAGTATCAGACAAAATTTTTTTGAAAGGCAAACAAACCTGGGAGATGGTTGGCTTATAGATTAAAAAGACAAAAAGATAAAAGATGGATTAGTAAATTATGCAACGAAGCAGGAGAGATGGTATACAAAACGGATGAGAAAAAACATGTGACGTATGAATTCTATAAAAACATTTATAAAAATGATGTAAAGATTAGTGAAGCAAGAATACTACAGTATCTTACAAATGCTGAACTGCCAAAGGTCCCGGAAAAATACCAAAATATATTAAATGAAGATATAACAGTTCAGGAAATTATGGAAGTGATTAAAAAACAAAAAAGCAATAAAACACCAGGCCCTGATGGATTACCATCAGAAATATATAAAAACCTTCAAGAACTTCTGGGCCCAACTTTATTGGATGTATTCGACAAAGTACTAAAAGTAGCAAAGACCCCAAATTCATGGAAAGAAGCAATCATTACACTAATACCTAAAGAAAATTCTGATTTAACCTTCATAAAAAAGTATAGGCCCATTTCCTTATTAAATACGGATTATAAGATTTTTATGATAATAATAGCAGAAAGATTAAAAAGATACTTAGCTGAGTTTATCCATACCGATCAAAACGGTTTTCTGCCCAAAAGGCAAATAAGATACAATGTCAGGATTATATTAGATATGCTAGAATATTATGAATCACACAATGAAAAACAAATGGCACTAATTTTTGTTGATGCGCAGAAAGCGTTTGATAATGTTAGATGGGAATTTATGTTGACCCACCTTAAATATATGGAATTTGAGGAAAGATTCATAAACATGTTCCAAGCAATTTATTCTAAACAAGAAGCAAAAGTAATTATGAATGGAGAATTAACAAAAAGTTTTCAGATACAAAAAGGTATGAGACAAGGCTGCCCGCTATCAGCATTATTATTTGTACTTTCATTAGAAGTTTTAACAAGAATAATTTGAGAAGATAAACTGATTAAAGGTTTAGAAACTAAGAAAGAGATATTCAAATTACAGGCATATGCAGACGACCTAGTATTTATTTTGGAGGAACCTTTAGAGTCTGGTTTAAGATTATTACAGGTCCTGGAAAATTATGGAGATGTAGTGGGGCTGAGGATTAACAAAGAAAAAACGAAAATGTTAGTCAAGAATATGACCAAACCACAAGAGAATGAGCTAGCAGAAAAAAATAACATTCAAATAGCTAAAAAAGTAAGATACTTAGGGATTCAATTGACAGCAAGATGCATCACACTCAAAAGAGAAAATTATGATAAATTAATAGATCAAATCTCTGTAGACTTAGACAGATGGAAAAACCTACAGCTTTCTTTTATGGGGAGAATTGTGACTATTAAAATGAATGTGCTACCCAAACTACTTTTCCTATTCCAATGTATACTAATTAAATTAGGCAAAAATTTCCTTGAAAATTTAAACAAAATTATATCCAAATTTATTTGACAAGGGAGGAAACCAAGAATTAAATTTAAGTTATTGCAGGATGCAAAAGAAAGAGGAGGATTCGGTCTCCCAAATTGGGAAAAATATTACCAGGCAGCAACACTTGCTTGGTTAAAGAAATGGATACATTTAAGGAATAGGAGATTGCTAGCACTAGAAGGTCATGACATGCAGACAGGGTGGCATGCAATACTATGGGATGGGAAATACAAAGCACACCAGTATTTCCAGAAACATAATATTAGACGAGCACTACTAGATGTGTGGATTAAAATTAAAAAATCTAATTACATGAAAATACCCAATTGGATTTCAACACTGGAGATTTTTTTGCAACCAAAATTTATGTACCTGGGAAAGGTAATTATATATAAAAACATTCTAGATGAGATTGGAGAATTGAAAACAAAAGGGGAACTATTAGAAGATGGCATAAAGTTGGAATGGTGGGCATACTTGCAAATACAAGCACGATATAGAAAAGATTAAAAAAAACTGGGATTAAACTAGAATATACAGAACTAGACAAAATTCTGCTAGGAACTGACAACAAAATGTTAAAAAAATTACCAATATTTATTAGAACAAAGAATGCCAGCAGAACAGATGAAAGATACAATGTTAATTTGGAATAAAAACTTCGGCTATAATATCGAGTTAGATTATTGGCAACTACTGTGGGACAGGAATAGGAGATTAACATTAGCTACTACTTACAAAGAAAATTTATACAAGATGTTTTACAGGTGGCATCTTACCCCTATAAGGCTAGCAAAAATAGACAAAAAATCTTCACCATTATGTTGGAAATGTAGGAAAATACCAGGGACTTACTATCATATGTGGTGGGAATGCTCAGAAGCTCGAAAATTTGGGTACTTGATAAAGAATTGGTTAGAAGAGATACTATCATTAAAAATTGAAGCAAAACCAGAACTCTTTTTATTAGGGATCACTATGGCTAAATTCAGCAAAGGAGCTTTATATTTAATTCTGCACATTTTAACCACAGCAAGATTAACATATGCTCAAAATTGGAAAAGAAAAGAACCCCCCCCCCCGTGAAGAAGAAATACTAAACAAAATTCTATCCTGTGCGGAAATGGACAGACTGACATTAGAACTCAAAAATAAAACAGAAACAGAATACTTTGAAATTTGGAATAAAATGTATAATTGGTTGGATTTTAAGAGGTATGCTGGGACAAAGGCTGATGATTAAATAGATAACCTAGAAATTCTTATTTTAATATTTGTTATATTAGATATAATCAAAAGTTATTTAACTAGGATGTATTTTATTGAAAGAATGCGCACTGTGTAACAATGTAATAATGTAAAATAATATTAATAGTATCGTTTAAACAGGGAAG